CTCCCGTGATTCGGATGTTGGAACGTTTAAAGTTGTCCTGGACATTCCTAAGCCTCTCCTCATTTTTTTTGTGTTCTTGTTTCTTCTGTTCCAGTTGGGTGTTTATTTTTCCCTTTTGTTCCAAATTGTTGATCTGAGTCCCAGTTTCCTTCCCTTCACTGATGGTTCCCTGTATATTTATTTCCCTTTACTTCACATCGAATAGCCTTCATTTCTTCCTTCATTTTGTGACTGAGCTCAACCAATTCTGTGAGCATCCTGTTTGCCAGTGTTTTGAAACTCTGCATCAGATAGGTTGGCTATCTCCTCATCACTCAGTTCTTTTTCTGGAGTTTTGATCTGTTCTTCCATTTGGGCCATATTTCTTTGTCTCTGCCCACCTGTTATGTGTAAGGGGCAGAACCTTATGTATTCGCCAGGGCTGGGCAACCCTCTTTGCTGCGTTGTGGCACTGTGGGGGAGGGGTCAGAGAAGGAACAATGCTACTTGCTCTGTTCTCATTCCACTTTCTGTCACTTCCCTTGCTTCCCATAAGCAGTTTGTGCCCTTTAGGTGCTGATCTGCAGGTGGGTGGATTTGCATTTGTTTGGGGACCCTGTGGGTCTCTCCAACATACTCTCCTGTGAGGCTGAGGAGTTTCTTCTGCCACCACAATCCCCTCAGATCTTTCCTTCAAACTGTAGTTTTGAGTCTGTAGTTTCCCTCACTGAAACCCAGGGGTCTGCAGTCCATCTCGCTCCCCCACTTTATGCAGGGTTTGTCTGCACACGAATATGGGATTGCCTTTGTGGTCCACCAGCTGCTGCCTTGCCTCCTCCTCTCTGCCCCACTGCCCAACTCCGCCCCTCCTACCCAGCAGGTTGAATGTTTCTTTGACTAGTTGGTTGTTGAAATTCTATGCAAATGCCTTCCTGGCAGTCCTGGTTGTTCTTTGTCTTAAAATTGGTTGTTTTCCTTCTTTTGGTTGTATAAGGAAGGGAAGTGTTTCTGCCTATGACTCCATCTTGGCTTGCCTTCTGACCTTGACCTTTGATTGCTACCTAACCTGACCTCTAACTTGTGATTCCCCTCAGCTCCTGGGAGAGCTGTCCTAATATCTCTTAGGGACCCAGAGTCCTAAATGATCCTCTCCCTCATTCTGGTGTTAAGGTAGAGAGGGCATAAATCCCCTCTCCCTAATCTAGGTGTCCATAGATGAGGGATAAGGGTCATTGTAGTTGTCCATGGTGCCTACCCCAGATTCTCCCTATTTAACCCGTTGCAAGGATAAGGGACTTGGTGCTGGGTCTCCATTCACCAAAGTGGATATGGCTTCTCATTAACCCTTCGAATTTCTGAAGGATATGGGCCTAAATGAATGTGTCAGGGAGGCTTGCTGGTGGGTTAATGGTCCTCAGGATGTGATAGAAATATCCAGTGTGAATGGAAGCTGGACCGGGAGGTGGTGGGCAATGAACAAGTTTGAGGGAAGGATTGGAGCTGGGGCAATAGGGAGGGGCCTGGGACCATTGGCTGCACTAACTTTGGTAGCTGCTAGACAGTGTGTGTCTAGAGTGGGAGGGGGAGGGGCCAAGCTGGGGCAGGGCTGCTTGGGGCTTGGCATAGGGGTGGAAAGGGCTACTTGGGGCTCTGACCAGGGTGTGTTATGGGTGGAGGCTGCTCTCCTGTCTCCCACTACTTCTGCTGTAACAATAAACTGTAGAGGAACCCGAGCACCGTTTTTGTTCTTTGTCTCAGTGTGCCTGCACCCTGCCCCGTTCCTACCTTCTCCAGGCCCAGCTCTCGGTCTCTTCTCCAAGTGACATAAACCAGGGGAGGGGCTTGGATGGCATAGACATTTCATAGAACATGACTTCATAGTCATCGGCCCCTATTCAGTAGAATGGTATTGTCCTTGATATTGATAGTATCTTCGTGTCTTGGGAGAGGTGCTACGTAGAAGACTTCTGTGTCGATTACTGAGAAACACCACAGGATTTCAGAGATGTCACCGACATGATCTTAAAGAAGGAAGGACAGAAAGCCGACGTGTCCAAGGACATCTGCGACAACCTTTCTGCAGGATCCTCTCGGAGGTCACCTGGATTCTATTTTCGGTGGTTCAATAAACCAGCAGGCCACGCCTCACGGTTTCTAGAGGGCCTGTTGGGCCACCCAGTGGATCCCGATCTGAGGGCTCCTTCAGGTGAGCCACCGCAACCAGGACTTCCCCCCAGGAATTCCCCCTCCCATACCAATCCAAGAATTGGGGAGTTAATTAGACTATGTGTAGGGTTCTCCGAGAAGCTTCTCAACAAGTACCAATAGTAATCATGAAGAGAACTTCAGATTTTGCGGCCATTGCAGGCTGATTCTTGGGCTCTAGAGGCACAAGAAGCAAAAGGAGAAGGCAGTTTATAGAACCACTGGCCAGAGTACTGTGATGGAATGTCACACGGTCATTTGCCAGATTACAGAAGCCCACAGGCAATTACACAGTCTCCTCAGTGGACCTGAGCTGACGACTCATGCAGCCTGATGCCTAGTGCCGATGTCTAGTGCTGACACGCTGACGTGGAAGTGGGCACGGAACATGCTCTTGGGTCTTGAGCATTTCATCACTCTCATAGGACCAAGTCTATTTTAGATACAGCAGGCCAGGTTCAGAAGGGGTGAGGGCTTTGGGTGACCACACACAGGGCAGGTAGCAGGTGCTTAAATGTGGCATAATTGGAATCATTGGCCAAGCTTGCTTCTTGGTAAAACAGGAAGAAAAGGCAGAGAACTCCAAACAGCATCAGCCTTGACTGCCAATAGCTGCTGCTGGGCGTTATGGAAGAAGGGAAGACGGATCTTCTCAGCACATTAAACTGCACAGATAACACTGTTGTGTTAGCAGAATAATCTTTGGAAGAGGGAGCAAAGCTCATCCGGGTGTACCTATGTGGGTGGGTGTGTATGTAGCTGCCATGGGGACGGTGTGAAATGGATGGTAACCGTGTGTCTGTCCTGTAGGTGTCTCTGTACACAAAACCCAAGAGTTGGGAAGAGGGAGAGATGATCTCTGTCAGAGCGAGGGAGAGGGGTTTGCTGTCCTTGACTGACCTCTCTACTTCTGGGTCTCAGACATTCCAGGCAAGTCCATGGGGACGCAGTGCCCCCCTGTGGTTGGCATGGTTCTTCCTAACTTTCCCCAGTTCCCAGTTCCCTTCCTCAGTCTCCCATTGTTCTTGGTGATTCTACCTTAGGGAGATAGGGAGGACCTGACAACCACCACTGTAGCTCCTGCCCATTCTCAAGATCAGAGCTCAGAGGCTCAGAGAAGAGGCGGGGTGACTTCACAGAAGCTGAACCACAAAGTCTTTACTTTTTGTCTCTGCTTCACCCTTAGGACTCCTGCTTCTCCCTTCCTCTCATTCTCAAGGAATGTGTTTCCCTGACTTTAAGGACATTAGTGCAAGGTGGCCAAGAGAGGGTCCATGGGAAGAATACCACGGAAGAATACAGTGATGAGAGCCTTGAGGTGTCGGTGTGAAAACTGTGGAACTCACGTTAAAGCACAGTTCTCGGAAGGTACCCAGACACTGAACCGCGGCAGGAGGGGTGGTGTTCAGCTTCAGAGCACTCCTTGCCAGGCCCCTGCAGGCTGGCTGTGCTCCTCTCCCGAAGGCCAGTGGACGGCTCTCAGCGGACGGCTGTCTGGAGTTTCTGTAACCAGCCAGCTCCTGGGGCTCCTTCTCTCCGGCCCGGTACCACCGTCACTGTCACTCAGCCCCGGGGTGTTGCACCAGCGTTTGTGCTCTGTCCCAACCCCGCCCACACCTTCTATGCGCTCCTTGGACTAAACTGGCCTCAATTATCCAACGTGCTTTCTGCTTTCTCCAGAGACTCTAACGTACAAGACGGGAGGTACCAGCAAAGGTGGGGAAGGCAAAGACAGGGAAGAGAAGAGAATGAGCTTTTCTTAGCATCACAGAAACGAGGGTTTGAAGCTCAGTTAGTTACGCGACCAAGTTATTTAACTTTGGAGTGCGTTTCCCTGGACTCACAATGGGCATAACATCTACCTGGCTGGGCCGGGAAGGGGGGACAATACATGTGGAAATAACAGCAGAGGGCCTGGCACGTGGCAGGGGCTCAGCGTGGAAACTCTTATTACGACAACATCCTGGGCCCTGTTCTGAGTGTGTTACGTGTGAATACACTTAATAGGGAAGGGAAGCAGAACCGGATGGTGCTTCAGGGAAATTATGTCCTGTGTCAGACGTTTTAGTTTAGTTTTGCCTTTAGCTTGGCTTCTCACTGACCCCCAGCTGTGTAAGCTGGGCTGGTGAAGAGGTTTACACATCTTAATCCGTGGGGAGGAGAATGGGATGGACAGAAGACAGAAACGAAATGAGACGAGAGTGAAACTCAGGAGACCTTGCCCACGTTGGGGCCACTTGGGCCGCTACCGAGCAAACGTGAAGGGTCACATGGGTGAGCGTGCCTGAGCTCACAGGACACACCTTCCCTGTCCCTACGGGTCAGGGGCTGGGCAGCAGTCGTCCCACTGCTCCTCAATTCCAGGTACCCGGTTTTTGTATTCGTGCAGTTTTTAAGAGAAGCAGCACACTGTAGGGTTACTCACCTGAAAGACAAATGGTCCAGGGGGAGGGGCCAGAGGCACAGCGGCAGGTAGGGCAGGCCCCCGGAAAGCCACTGCCTCCTGGCAGAGCCAAGTAATCGCCCTTGGAGTCTCTCTGGCGCCTTTCTGCCTTTCCAAACTTACTGCTTCTTCTTTTTTTTAATTAAAAAAATTTTCAATTACAGTTGACATAGAACATTATATTCATTTCCACATGTATACACATGGAGATTAGACATTTACATAGCTTACAAAATCTAGTACCAAAAATCTAGTACCCATTTGACACCACATACAGTTATGATATTATTGATGATATTCCCTGTGCTGTACCTCACCTCCCCAGACACACTGCTTTTTAATTCCAAGGCACGAGGCAGCTGGAAGGAGACTAGACATCACGTCCCTGAGGTCACACAGGGCTCAGTGTGAAAAACAGAAACCAGATGGAAGGAGGCTCCGTGGAGCCGGAGCTCAAGAGTCTGCGGGACATGTGGGTGGCTGATAATTGGTACTGGGCGCGGAGTGGGTGTGGTTGGTGTAGGAAAAATACCTAGATCCCCATGTTTTGTTTTTACACCTCTTCGTCTCTAAATGCCGGGAACTCTGGCTCAGAACCTCAACCCCTGTAGGCAAGGTGAGAGCCGGTGGTTGGAATTTCAGCAATGCTGCTGTGTCTGGGGGCCCTGATTCCAGGGGAGGAGACTGCATCCAACCCTCGCCCTTCCCACTCCATGGGGCAGCTCTTCAGTAACCTGGGGGAATGAAGTACAGCATGGTTGAAGGGGGAGGGGAAAGTGGACGTTTTATTACACATAGCAGCAAAAATGGAACAAGAGTCAAATTTGGAGCGGTGGTCTTTGTACCAATTCTCCAGAGTATAAACACTCAACCAAAACAAACGTACACATCCTGTTCTGAGTCCTGGAGGAGCAGAGGCATCTCATGAGGAAAACCCGGGACCCAGTTCATGGGGATGATGCCTAGTGAACTCTGCTTAGTCTCAGCGAAGAAATGTCTGAGGGCCAAAGCCATCTGAGCAGTGTCTGCTGGTGGTAGGGACACCCTTCTAGATGGGTCTGCAGGAAAGTCAGGAACCTCTCAGGCCCACAAAGCAATAACGGCCATGAAGGCAAAACCAGCAGCCACACAGCCCCACTTGAGCAGAGGGCTCTCGGGACCAGCTAGCTCCCGGGGCAGAATTTCTAGGAAGGTGACATATAAGAAGGTGCCGGCTGCCACACCCTCTAACACAGCCTGGGCTAAGCCTCGGCCCCCATCAGCATTTCCTCCAGCCACAGCCAGCCCCAGGGCTAGGCCCAGGGGGGACATGACAGCAAATGACAGTATGGAGAACACAGCCCATCGTGATCCAGTGCCCCTCTGCACCAGCCGCAGTCCCACCCCAAACGCTATGAGCCCCTTGTGAGCCAGGACAGCCAGACAGAGCTCCACGGTGGCTGCTACTGTTGCCTGCAGCCCCACGGCCAGGCCTTCAAACACTGAGTGGAAGGAGAGTGAGAGCAAGAGGACGAGGGCTCGAAAGGGACTCTGAGAGGGTGAGGGGATAGGTCCGTGACTGTGCAGTCCAAGGACACGAGCCCCGCCCATCTCCTCCTCCTGCACTTTTGATCCTCCATCGGCTCCACGACAGCCCTGCAATGCCAGCGACTCCAGAAGGAAGATGAGGAAGAAACCCAGGGAGATGACGAGCTCTCCGTAGGGATAGTCTGTCTGGGAACAGAGAGAGGGGCTGTGGGTCGGGGGAAGGGAGTGCAGGAGGTGGGTGGGGGTGGGATGGGAGCCTGGAGAGAATGGAAATGTGGGACTAGAACATTAAACGGTGGGAGGGGGTGGAGTCCGAGGAGATAAGGACATGCAACAAGAATACCGGAGGGACCGAGGGACACGGTGTCAGCAGGGCTGAAACACGGGAATGCGATGGGGAGCATGTCTCAGGGTCCAGGGAAAGAAGGAAAGAGTGAAGCAAGAGGTTTGTCTGGGGTTCCACAAACCCAAAAAGACTGGGTTGGCTCCTCCCTTCCCTAGTGTCTGAGGTGGGGAGCAGAGGGATTCCCGGTAGCCCTCACATCCTCACCTCAAAAGGGCCCGGTATGCGGGGCCTCTGGTTCTCCTCACCCTGCAGGTTGGGGGTGGGAAATACTTACATAAGATGAATTAGCATCACCAGAGGAATAACCCTCACTCTCTGTCCTGTTCTAGGGAGAGAAAAGCAGAAATTAGATGGGGGATTGAGCTGCCCTGTCCTTCAGCTCCACTGCTTTCCTTAAAGCTCAGTCTGACCTGTGGCCATCATTCCACAGAACACGAGAGCTGTCGTCTGCCCTACTGGGCCACCTGTGTCCTTGGCCCCATCACTTTCCCCTTCTCCCCTTGGTTCTGCTCGTCATTCTGGCCTCTCAGCCCTGCTGCTCAGCTGCTCACCAGCATCATGAACTTCTGGATCTCTGACTCGATTCCCTCCAGGGCCTCAGCAGTCATGTGCATGAGCCCCGCGCCCAGGAAAACACCTGCGGAAACGCAGCCCAGGAGGCTGAGGACCCGGCGGCGATGACCTAATGAAAAGCAAGAGTGGCAGTGCAGTTGGCAATGAGTGACTAAATGACATGGACAAAGGTGACTAAAGAGCAACAGGCAGCACCCAATATCCAAGCTTGGGGTGGCAAGAGAATCAGAGCAAGGTGTCAGGACAGGGTGACAGGGTTAAAGTCAGACTCCGATTATGGGGCCAAAGACGCAGAAGGGCTGTACCTGTGGCTGCCTCAATCTGGAACCATTTGAAGCAGATGGGAATAAGGCCACAGACGAGGGTGAGAGCCAGCAGGGCAAATAGGCAGCCAATTTTTACTCCTATCAGCAGTTCCATCCTTGGGGCACAGGCTAAGCAGAGGTCTCAGATGAAAAATGGAGTTACAAGCTTTGGAGCAGGAGCGGTGCCTTGGGTGGTCAAAGCTGTGGTGTCCACTCCCCAAGTTTCAGGAGGCTGTTGGGTCCTGTTTGGTGCTGCCTCTGCTTGCGCAGCCTTGCGTAGCTGACTGGGGCCCTGCCCCAGCTCCCTGCCCGCCCCCTACGTGGAGGCCCCTCCCCTGCCTCACGCCCTCCTGAGCTTGAAACCAGAAACTCCGGAATCCCTGCCGGGCACAGCCCTGTGCTTGGTCTTCTCTTGTCAGTTCCATGAATAAGCCAAGGGCTGTGGACTGTTTGAATTCATGCTTGGGGCTGGTCTAATCCAGTCTGTGGCAGCTACTTCCCAGCTATTTTGTGTTGGGGGTAACCTGGTCCTGCTTCACTCAGGACATGTGATCTCAACCTTCCATACCCTCTCTACCCCACCCAGGTCTTGTAGGTCACTATGCTGACACCTGAACCACACTCTTTCAGAGGGGATTTGGGGCCTCCAGCAGTGGGGGGGTGGGGGGTGGGGTAGGAAGCAGGTGGAGCTGAGGAATGTGCTGCTGCCGCCACTCTGGGAACTAGTACATGAGGGGCTCCCCTTTCCTGTAACCCCAGAAAAATAGCTCCAGACATGGAAATGTCTAGTGGGGCATTGAGATTTCTAGTTTGACAGCAGATTCTGTTACCACTTCTGATTGTGCCTATTTCCTGATGTGTGTTGTGGGAGAGAGACTGAGTTTTAACACAATGGAAGCTGCTCTAGCTCCAAAACAGCAAGACCTAGGGGAAGACAGAAATGAACCAAGCAAACTGAAGGACGCTGCCTGGCCATGTGGGGGTGGAGATGGAAGGGTCAGTCCTGAAGGGATCAACTCTTGAGGAAAACTCATGAAGTAAACTCTGGGGGAGCTGATGAACCCTGAGAGCGATGAAAGAAAAGGATGGAGGGAGAAAACCCAGAGGCTGAGCAGCTGCTGGTCCCCTAGGCAGGTGGCCTAGCAACCTTGAGACCTGTAGAGCCAGTTCTCAGAGTGCCGGGGGCAGTTTTCCCCAGTGCCCCAGATTACTTCCCCAGGAAGTCCGGTCTCTGGTAGAAGGAGCAGTGTTCTTGTAGGAGAGGGTGAGCTTGAGATTCGTGTGGGAAGAAAGGCATTGCAACTCTGAGGACTTGCTTCATTACAGCTATGATGGCTGACCTCTGTAAGAATCACGAGATCCATTTCCATTCTTTGAAAACTTTTAATTATGATTAAAACCTCAAACAAATGCAGACATATGGGGGTACCAGCCCTTCCATCCTGGATACCAGGTGGCTTTAGCCTTGGCAGGCAGGCAGGATACACGAAAACTTATGGTACAGGTCCTTGTCAACTCTCAGGGGGATCCTTATCAGGGGACGGAGGAAGCTCAGACGGCTGGTCACAGGTAAAAGATCGCCCCAGGAGCTGACACGGGCACAGCGATACAAATCCCTGTGAAATAGAGGTCACGGTGGGCTGCAGGTTCCTGCCACCTCCCCCTAATTTTGGAATTTTGGTCATAGCCTCTATACCTGCCGTGCCAGCGAGCCGTGATCACAGTGTGCTGCACGTGCCCATCTGCACAGGTGACAATGCACACGGCACGGCCGTTTAAGAACAGGCTGAGTGATCCGGGGCCAGCGAGCAGCCTCCCTTGGAGAGCCCCGGGCAAGGATTACCATTGAGAACTTTTCCTCCTTTGGCTTCTTGTTCTAAGGTAAGGACAGAGAAACTGTTTGGGGGAGAAAGATATGGGAAAAATTTTTTTGATTCCATCCTGCAGCCCTTTTCATATTCTGTGTCATGTGTATTCAGGAGCTACAATCTCTAGGCTATTCAGTGAATTTTCCAACTCTTCCCACCGCTGATTCATTTTTATCCTGCTTTCCCAATTTCCTCCCTGTAATATTCCCAGAATACATACCCAGCTGAAGGGGATGGGATGGTAAGCCTGGGAAAAGCTTCAGGCCAGGGGCTTAGAAGCTGTCAGCTGGGGACAAGCAAGTTCATGGGGACACTGTAAAACACACACATTAAAAAACATGAGGTAAGACAAGGAACCACAGATCATAACACTGAAAAACTAAGAGTGACAGAGTCAGGAAGGGCTAAGGATAAGGGAGCAAAGGAGCAGGGGGCAGGGAGAGCAGGGAGTCCAGGAAGAAGAACTCGGATAGGGACACAAAGCAGTGGAGGGCGGCTTGACTTTGCCCTCACTTGGCCTGGACACAGTTGAGCTCGGACCTTAGCGTGCTGGGAAAGGTAGAAGTAATACTCACTGGGGCAAAGACAAAACCAGGTGGAGGATCCAGAGGTGACTTCTCCTTTCCCTGAAATCAAAGGAAATAAAAAAAGTTGGGCTTGAGGGGTCTATTCTTAATAAGTCAATCTCTGCACTCAGTCAGCTGAGGACTCCTTTAACATTCAATCCTGGTAATTTTTAACTCTGTTCTTTGAGTTAAGCTGGCTGCTTCTGTAATACTCAAAACAAAGAACTCTTTGCAGCAGAAGGGCAGGAACTTGGCACATAGGATGGCGCTGTCCTTGTCAGCAACTGCACTCTCAGAAAACCCCACTCTAGGACAATTAAATTCAGGATTATACACTGGCTCATATACTCCCAAAGAGATACAATTTTTGGCTCAGCCATGTCCTAGCTCAGGGGTCAGCAAACCGTTTTTCTAAGGCCCAGAGAGCAGCCAAAATGTGTTTCTGTCCCCACTACGCAGCTCTGCCATTTGTAGTGTGAAAGCAGCCGCACACAACGGACACTCAGACAGGCCTGGCTCGTACTCACACAGGTGGCAGGCCAGGTTTGATGCACAGACCCCAATTCGCCAACCACCACCCTACATCATAATGACTTTATATGCCTCCTTTCCTGAGAGTCACCCTTACCTCTGTATGACAGTCTTTTCAGTTTTTAAGGGAGTACCAGTAACTGGTGACAGAAAAGTGTGGGGCTAGAGGGGGGGAAGAAGAAATATCCTTACGTTAAGGACCAGGTCCCTGGCTTCCATGAGAAGGCGGTGCCCTGCTTTTGTTCCACTCTCCACCAGTATCTGTTCACAAAGGGAGAATTAACGGAAGCCCTGAACTACATGACAACAGGTGAAGGGATCCAAAGTTTTACCACCCAAAATTGCCTTTATGAAATATTGATTTTAAGCTATTTTTTTAAGAAACAAAAGACTCAGAAAGATCCTTTGACCCTTTCCTTTCTTGCCTAAGAGATTTAGATGGAAAGGCCTACTTTAGGAAGGGAATCTTAGGATATTGCCTTAGCCTAAACATTTGAATTAAGTATGATCAGTAAGAGGGGTGCAGGCAGGGAATCTGTTACCTAGATACTGCCTGTGTCCCATTGTGTCTGACTTGTCTAGCAACTATATGCCTGCTGTGTGTGTGACCTGTAAATGACCTGTAAATTGCCCATTCACACTTCTAAAATCTAACATCCATTTCTCCGCTTTTTTCCTTTGTCCAAAATGTCATATATACTCAGTGTTGCCTCACTGTCTTTTGAATTATTATGCGTATGTGATTTTCCTATGTGCATATATTAAAATTTTGATTTTTGATTTTCTCCTGTTAATCTATCTATGTTATTTCGATTATTGGTCCAGCTAGAAGTTTGGAGAAAAAGTATTGAATATTTTTATCTCCCATGCGTGAATGTCTGTAGCTCTGTAAGAGCACTCACAGATGGAATGGCAGTCCCAAAAGAAATAGCATTTACGTGAGACGGGGATGGTGACTCTGAAGGAGAAACAAAGGGTTCTGTGCAGGAGGAAAAATGATCAAGAATGAAGACAAGCTCCAATGAACAGAAGGAAAAGCATAAAAACTGTGAAGCTGCTCTAAAACTTGAAGAGAAAAAGGAATTTCTACTCGCTAGAAAATCACTGGTCTTGCGCCACAAGGTTTGGGCCACCTCGGCGCGGTCAGCCTTGCTGGGCAGTTCACTTAGGGAGAAGGCCGATACCACCACGCTGAATTGAACCTGAGGACCAATACAAGGAACGTGACAGATCTGCCATCACCTGCTTCCAAGAGCACAGTGAAGTTCCAGCTCCCTAAATTTCTTCTGCTGTCTTAAAAAATATTTTATTTATTTATTTTTAGAGAGAGGAAAGGAAGGGAGAAAGAGAGGGAGAGAAACATCAATGTGTGAGAGAAACATTGACTTGCTGCCTCTTGTGTGCTGCCAACTAGGGACCTGGCCCTCCACCCAGGCATGTGCCCTGACTGGGAATCAAACCAGCAACCTTTCCTTTGGCAGGCCGATGCTCAGTCCACAGAGCCACACCAGCCAGGGCTCTGCTGTCATTTATCGTCTAACATTCAATGCTGGGTTGCAAAGCTGAGGCCAGTTTTCCATCTACCTAATTCCGCATTTAGTATACTCTACACATTGCCACTTGCCTTGGGTGATACTGGTAGAACCTGTCTGAAAAAGACCCTTGGAACATATGGCTCCCACATTCTGAACCATCTGTGGAGGAGGAAAGAGATGTGGCAACTGTCAAGGTATAGGTATAAACGGAAGGAGTATCCTGATAAGAAACATGGCCCCAAGAATAAAAATGCTAGGTGAGAGTGGGATAAAGGAGGGTGAGGGAGTCCAAACTAGGTCCTTCCAAGGTGAGCCACCTGGGCATGTGGATTGTTTTGAGTGGAAGGCACTCAAGACTCTGTGGGCTCAAGGAAAACTTTTACCTCTCCTTTAAAGAACTTAAATTCCGGGTCATGCCCATAATAAGAGCTACTACCAGAAATACCTTTTTTAATGACTTATCCATAGGACAGGGCAAACTTCTAGTTACTGAATACCTGCTGTTTTTATCTGAGAAATGTCCTTCTCCCCTCTTAAGTGTCAGGACACCTTATCTCATTCCTTAGCTGTTTGTCACATATACCTCATTTTACCTTTCTGTCTGAGTGTCTCCTGTTTGTGGGGTTCCAATACAAATGTATGTAATTACATTTTATTTTACTTTTCTTATCAACCTGCCTTATGTCAGTTTAATTATTAGACCAGCTGATAGAACCTAGAAAGATAGAGGAAAGTTTTTTCCGCCCTCACAAGGATAAGCACATATTAAAGATAGAGAGAGAATATT